TATATTTAACCAAAAGAAAAGAAGGCGTGGTAAATCGAAGATATGCCTAATCTTGCTTAACTTCATATATAATTTATAAATTTATAGTTTCAAGTTTTCACATTATAGCGAAGAATAATAAATATTTATTTTTATTATCCCTCAAATATTTTTGACATCAAATTTCTCTTTGAAATGAGATTCTTTACAATAGATACTAGACATTCTTATTAGATTATCTAAGCTAAGCTACTATTTTTAAGCAATAGACGAAACTTATTTCAAACATAAAAAGTGAATTCAAAAATTCAATTCAGAATCTAAAAGCCCCCCTAGATTATACAAACCCCTCTAGACTCAAACTACTTCACATTACCTAATAGGCACCACTTATCCCCACTTGACAGTTGCGAATATAAGCGAGAATTAGATGAATAAACAAAAATGTGTGAGAATCTCTTAGATCTATCCCATAAATAGATTTACCTGTTCTTTTTTAATAAATTTGAAAAATAAACTTTAGTAAATATTGTCTAATTAATGACAATTATGAAATGTAAAAACCCTCAAGCATTTGAGACTTGGAATTCTAGTGAACTCAAGAGAATTCCTGCAGATGGAGTAATGATTTATATACATATTTCGAAGTATGTACAAATTTCCATATAGGCTTTGGAAATAAAGTACCTGGAACAGTATCTCGATGAATAGGATGAATAAGAAGTTTTCAAGTGATAAGATACCATCACGGTCTCTTAATAGATCAGATTAGGACTTTATAGATTAAACAAGCCAGAAGCCATAGGAGATTGTTATACATTTATCAACATCAAATTTATTTGGCCTGTGTAGTCTACGCGTGAAAAATAAAAATACAAAGTATGCCCACCCACGTCAGCCGTCCCACTTGAGTCGAGTTCAAAGACCTACGGCAAGCGATTGTAATAACTTGGCCAGAATTTGGTTCAACAAACCATTTGACAAGTTTGACTTTGCCAATACGTAAGTAATCAAAGCAGGCAGCCAGGCAGAAGCAGCAGCAGGAGCAGGAGCAGCAGCAGGAGTGGAAGCAACATTGTCGGTCACTGAGCTTAACTGGCATCAGTTCGTCAGTTC